AACGAGCACCCCATTTCAATAAAGATATGTAAAAGGATACGGTCGGCTCTCAAGAGCCCTTTTCCTCGCTTGCCGTACTTGATCTTGCCCCGTTGACCCTCGGTCAACGCTTAAGGAGGAACCAATACCATAGACTCCACTTTCCCCAAATTCCTTCCACCTCACATACCCCTACCGGGCCCGAACTCCAACCAGTTCAAAATGGTAATACTCGAGTATACCGGAATCAAGAGTCTTATACCCAATGATTCCATAGAAACAGTCCCCATGGCTTGTCAATCTCCCCGACCAAGCCCTTGCTGGCTCGAGTCAATCAACCGCCGATGGGGTTGATCTCAAAGTCAACAGTAAGAGTCGTTGAACGACACCAGTTCAAGTATATTCAAGAGATATTTAATTGATATAGTAAACAGTCACATAAGCCATAGAGTGCGAGAGTGATAAAGTACACCCTCGACTCAATCAATCTCAACAGTACACACAAACATTCAAATCATAGATTTCAAGTATAATAAAGCCATGAAGTAACAATCATGTGAGTAGTACACTCACCAATCAAGCAAAGGAAGATTTCACAAATTTCCATCCAACGAGCGCCTTGGGTCACCGGCACGACCTAAATCATTCAAGGAAACACAATGAGACTCGAATACGAGTCATAAACCCAACCACATATCACTAATGCAAGGCCAATAACACTTGAAAGTAATATAAGGAATACTTGGGGCTAAGGGTTTAGACAACCCCAAAGTCACTATTTAACACTCTAAGCAACCCAAATCCAAGAAATCATATGAACCTAACATTTGGACAGCATTTCCCCTTAAAATTTCAGATTTCCAACCCACAATTCATCATTCATTTTCAACCAATACAACCCCAACTACAAGTACAAGTCCTATGCCATTCAATACACCTTATTAGGGTTACAATACCCATTAAACAAAGCTAATTCAAGAGTTCCACAATAACTGTGAGGACCCGTAAATTTTCTTTATTTCAAAATATTTTATTTTATTTTTCACGCATGCATTTTCTTCATTAAACCCTATTATGTTGATTTTCCAGAGAGATTTTATAAGTGAATAGAGTTTTTAAATCATTTTTCTAGTATAAGTTAGTTCAAGAGAAATAAAGAGTGTATACCGGATGTGGGACCCACTAGTGCGGTAAGTTCGATAAAATTCAGCCAATTAGGTTAAGTTGTGTATACCAGGTTTAATTTATCTGGTGTTAAGAAATAATTAGAAATTACCTAGATGGATTATCATTGGAGAGACAAAAGGATAGAGTTGCATTAAATAAGGTTGACAAGTGTCATCTTGTGATTTAATCTTGACTTTGACTACTATTCATTTACTTTACCAATTAACCAAATTGACCCAAAATCATCCTCATTTGCAAGCTTCTTTGGCCGGCCATCTCAAGAGGAAAAGAAAAGAAAACTCTCACCTTTCATGCTTTCAATCTTGCTCAACCTAGCAAATCAACCGATTAAACTTGGAATTCCTCCATAAAAACCTTTAGTTTAGTGATAGTGAGGTTGGTTGTAAAGTGGTTTGGAAGAAAGTGGTGCTAAATTGGCTCCTTTCTTGAATGGGTAAGGTGAGTAGCTAAGGAACCTCCCTTTTGTTCTCAATAATGTTTAATTAGTGGTTTGTGGTAGTCAAAAATGTGATTTTGTGGAAGATTTCTTGACGTTTGGTAGAGATTGGTGAATTTTTATATCTATTCCTGATTTTTCTGGTTTTATATGTTTAATATTGTGTGGCCATGGATGATGGCTTGGGATAGTCTAGAATGAAGCTATAGTGCGTAAATTGTACCTAATTGCGGAAAATTTCCACTTTGTGCGGAAAAATTCCAGATTAGGGTTTCAATTAACCCTGTTCTGCCTGGTACTGTTTGGATAGGAAGAAGGCAAAATTAGCCTTAGGTTAAAACATTAAAGTTGTAGGAAATGATGTTTTATAGATTTCTGTAAAATTTCAACTCAATCGGAGCACCGTAACATGTGAAATGACCGAAATACCATTGACTGCCCATAAGCCCTATTTTCACGGACAGTTTTCTGTCTTCATATAGATTTCAATTTTTGACTCTGAGAATGCATGATTTAGCTTTGGAGACCTTCATAAGAAATATAGGTATACATCTTGGCTTCGAAACGCCACAAGATACACCTCAATCGGACTTTGGTATCCTGAGTTATTGTCATTTACGTATAGTACGGTTAGCTAGCCCGAATGTGAGATTCTGGTTGGGTAATTTAACATTTTGACCTGGATACACTACGAACTGGACTGAGTGGTCTTCATCAAAGTTGTAGGCCTTTGTCTTAGCTTCGAAACGGTATGAGTTACATCCCAATCCAATAAGCGTAGCTCCAGTTTTGTCTGTTCCGCTAAGCGACGTCAAATCTATCTTTTGTTTTCTGACTTAAACTTCATTTCCGGACATTTTCCTAGCTTGAAATTGTACTTGTACGAATTTGAGCCTAGTTGAAGGGCTATTGTATTGAGATTTCTTATGTGTTGAATTGGACTGACTTGAGAAAAAATAATGAAGCCATAAATGGCTGGAAAATAGGTAAATACAGAGGGCATGCTGCCAAAATTTTAGGGCTACGCGATTCCTTCAAGTTGAGTTGATCTTAGTAAATGAAGGGGTTTGGGGGTTGTTTGTAACCCTAGGACCAACTGTTATCTTTTTGCTCTGTACTAGTACTTAACTTGGGAAAGCATACGACTTGTAGTCGAGTCTCACTTGCGTATTCCGTTTACTCGATTTTGAATATGGAAACTCCAACTCCTTTACCTTTGTTATTCTTAGGGTTTCACGGTGATTAAGGCCACTTTGGGTGAAACCTTTGACGTACCTGTACTTGAATTGGTGAGTGTACCACTCCCCTCATTTGTTGCTTAACTTGATTTCTGCACTTGCAATCTGTGATCTGAATGACTGTACTATCTGTTTATTCTGTTTGAGGTGAGGGTGTACTTTATTACACTCGTTCTCTTGTCTGTCTGTATGCCAATTTACTGTGTGAAATCTGTTATCTGTATCTGAAACTGTTCGGACGTCGTTTGGAGGCTGGTATTCAATGACCTTTCTGTGATCTCTGAGCTCAACACCTTTGGCTAGTTACTCGAGTCGAGCCGGCAAGGGCATGGTCGATTAGATAACGAACCACAGTAGTCTGTTCTAGAAATCTTTGGGTATTGAGACCCTTGATTCCGGTATACTCGAGTATTACCACTTCTGTTTCTGTTGAGGTGTTCAGGCCCGGTAAGGGGTATGTGTGGTGAACGGGATTTTGGTGTAAAGTGGTGCTCTACTGGACTGGACTGGTTACTTTATTTGGAAGTTGACGGAGTGTCAACTATTATTTGATCAAGTTTCGGTGAAGCAAATGGGAATTTGGCTCCTGAGAGCCACCCGTATCCTTTCTATCTATGGTGTTGTTCATTTCTTTATTTGGTTTGAATATGTGACTAATTGAATTGAATATGAAGTTCCATGATTCTTACTCGCTATTATTTTGGTACCTCATTGAGCGTAAGCTCACCCCTTCCCGTTATCATTGTTTTCCTTACTGGGAACCACACTTTGAACCGTGATTTTGAGAAAAGGGTTGAGCTAGTGTAAACGTTCTTTTGTTAGCTCTTGTGTAATCAGAACCCTAATTGTCTTTTACTTAAGTATCTCACTTTTAATTGTAAAGTTTTCAATGTATGTATATAAGTGTTTTATCATGTACCGTAAGTGTATTCATTTGAGATGGTACCTTTGCGTTTGTTGAGATGCTATTTGTAACCATTGGACGATCGGACGAGTGCAGCATTTGATTGATTGATTGTTCTCTTGGGGATTCGTTTGTGCGCTATATCGGGTTTGTGTGATTCGGCTCCATAGTCCTGGCGAGAGCTGGGCAGGCGGTCCGCCGAAACCTTTGGTTCGCCTTAGGGTGAGGTGGGGCTGTCACAGGTGGTATCAGAGCCGTTTCGCGTGGTCTCTGCGCGGAGTGAGCTTGGGCCAAGTGGTGTTATGGTCCTAATTTCGTGAATGGGTATAAAGGATTAAGGACTCTTTTGAGCATAAGTTACGAATCCTAAAACATTCTAAGTTTAAACCTTTTTCATGGTACCTTGGGGACAATAGTTATGTATGTCGGGTAGGAATCTTTAGTAGGGATGATTAAGCTTGGGACCGGCCGGCTCGAGATGTGAATTATCTTATTTTAGATTCTTGGACCTGAGGACCAAAGGGTGGAGAGCGCTAGAATAAGGGTCTGTATCTTGATTGAATTTGAGGTAAGTCTTGATGGCCAAGAACCAGGCACGGAAGATCTTTACATTGGACCCAGTGATTAGACTGATCGAGGGGGGGTTGGATCTAAAAGTGTTATCATGGACTAATCTCATACTAGTCTGGCTAGGGTTTTCTAGAGAGTGACTAGCTTGTAGGGTACATTGAGACATTCACACCTAAGACCTATTTTCTTTGCTATGACTGCTATGACTGTGAGGACTTGATAAGTGTTTATTTGATCTGAGATGGCCTAACTGCAATGATCTAGGTCTCTACCTCACTTTGGATATCTGATACCCGTAGCTTAGTCCTCGATGGACGACCCTTGCCTATATTTCCTTGATACCTATCCACTAATGTTCCTGTATGAACTTGGCTTGATGATGAGAGTACCAAGATTGAGAGTTATGGAAGTAGGTAGAGAGATTGTGAAAACAAAGATGTGGCATAAGGTGTGAACTATTGATATACGAAGTATGCTGTAAGGTTTCAATATGTATATACGTGATACGTGGTATAGTATCATAAAATCTTGTCCTAACTATACTCTACTTTTCGCCTATTGCATTTGAGCATATCTAAGTTTAATCTTCCGTGGTTGAATTGGGAGCAAATGAACTTAACAGTTATATGGTTAGAATGCCACTTATACCTAATTACTTATTATGATTCATTAACTTGCCTGGCAGGCTATCACTTGAGTTCCACCGAATCCGCGAGATGGCACACTTGGTTGGTATGTATAAGGAAATTGAGATGCTTCGAAACAAAGTAGAGGTTCAAAAGAGATTAGCCGAGTACTGGGAAGAGCGATGGAAACATGAATACTCGGAGAAAATTGAGCTACTGCACGAGAACATAGGACTAAAAAGGCAATGCGAAGGGATTTTAGCAGAGACTTTAGCAAGGCCACAAATTAATACTTTTACGGAAGTGCAAGAGAAAAGCCAAAGGCTAGAAATTTCAGGTGCACAGGTGAAGGCCCTCCATGCAAAGAAAAGGGGTGCACTTAGTGACATTCAAAGGCAAGAACAAGGTGATCCAGGTAGGCCACAAACTAAGGTAGGCAGGGGAACTAGTGGTGTGAGAATTTTGGGGTCACCTAAAGAAGATACTCCGAGAGGGGCCTCACCAGGAAATCAAATCTCTTGCGGCTATTGCGGAAAAATCAATCATACTGAGGTGAATTGTTGGAAACGAAGGGGAAAATTCCTACGTTGTGGGGGCGCCAATCATCGGGTTGCTAACTGCCCAGTTGTACTATGCGAAGGGAAAAGAACCCAGCAACCAATCAAGACTAACCCTGAACATACAAAGGGGAAAGGGACTGGATCGAAAGTGCCGGCTCGGGTGAAATCCCTAGAGCAACTTCAGGTCTCTGACTCGTCTGAGGGCGTAGAAGGTATGATCCGCCGTCTAACACAGATTTTGATAGATTTCGTGAGAAGGAAATTTCGAGGACGAAATTTCTTTAAGGGGGAGAGTGTGTGAGGACCCGTAAATTTTCTTTATTTCAAAATATTTTATTTTATTTTTCTCGCATGCATTTTCTTCATTAAACCCTATTATGTTGATTTTCCAGAGAGATTTTATAAGTGAATAGAGTTTTTAAATCATTTTTCTAGTATAAGTTAGTTCATGAGAAATAAAGAGTGTATACTGGATGTGGGACCCACTAGTGCGGTAAGTTCGATAAAATTCGGCCAATTAGATTAAGTTGTGTATACCAGGTTTAATTTATCAGGTGTTAAGAGATAATTAGAAGTTACCTAGATGGATTATCATTGGAGAGACATAAGGATAAAGTTGCATTAAATAAGGGTGACAAGTGTTGCCTTGTGATTTAATCTTGATTTTGACTACTATTCATTTACTTTACCAATTAACCAAATTGACCCAAAATCATCCTCATTTGCAAGCTTCTTTGGCCGGCCATCTCAAGAGGAAAAGAAAAGAAAACTCTCACCTTTCTTGCTTTCAATCTTGCTCAACCTAGCAAATCAACCGATTAAACTTGGAATTCCTCCATAAAAATCTTTAGTTTAGTGATAGTGAGGTTGGTTGTGAAGTGGTTTGGAAGAAAGTGGTGCTAAATTGGCTCCTTTCTTGAATGGGTAAGGTGAGTAGCTAAGGAACCTCCCTTTTGTTCTCAATAATGTTTAATTAGTGGTTTGTGGTAGTCAAAGATGTGATTTTGTGGAAGATTTCTTGACTTTTGGTAGAGATTGGTGAATTTTTATATCTATTCCTGATTTTTCTGGTTTTATATGTTTAATATTGTGTGGCCATGGATGATGGCTTGGGATAGTCTAGAATGAAGCTATAGTGCGTAAATTGTACCTAATTGCGGAAAATTTCCACTTTGTGCGGAAAAATTCCAGATTAGGGTTTCAATTAACCCTGTTCTGCCTGGTACTGTTTGGATAGGAAGAAGGCAAAATTAGCCTTAGGTTAAAACATTAAAGTTGTAGGAAATGATGTTTTATAGATTTCTGTAAAATTTCAACTCAATCGGAGCACCGTAACATGTGAAATGACCGAAATACCATTGACTGCCCATAAGCCCTATTTTCACGGACAGTTTTCTGTCTTCATATAGATTTCAATTTTTGATTCTGAGAATGCATGATTTAGCTTTGGAGGCCTTCATAAGAAATATAGGTATACATCTTGGCTTCGAAACGCCACAAGATACACCTCAATCGGACTTCGGTACCCTGAGTTATTGTCATTTACGTATAGTACGGTTAGCTAGCCCGAATGTGAGATTCTGGTTCGGTAATTTAACATTTTGGCCTGGATACACTATGTAATGGACTGAGTGGTCTTCATCAAAGTTGTAGCCCTTTGTCTTAGCTTCGAAACGGTATGAGTTACACCCCAATCTGATAAGCGTAGCTCTAGTTGTGTCTGTTCCGCTAAGCGACATCAAATCTATCTTTTGTTTTCTGACTTAAACTTCATTTCCGGACATTTTCCTAGCTTGAAATTGTACTTGTACGAATTTGAGCCTAGTTGAAGGGCTATTGTATTGAGATTTCTTATGTGTTGAATTGGACTGACTTGAGGAAAAATAATGAAGCCATAAATGGCTGGAAAATAGGTAAATACAGAGGGCATGCTGCCCAAAATTTTAGGGCTACGCGATTCCTTCAAGTTGAGTTGATCTTGGTAAATGAAGGGGTTTGGGGGTTGTTTGTAACTCTAGGACCAACTGTTATCTTTTTGCTCTGTACTAGTACTTAACCTGGGAAAGCATACGACTTGTAGTCGAGCCTCACTTGCGTATTCCATTTACTCAGTTTTGAATGTGGAAACTCCAACTACTTTACCTTTGTTATTCTTAGGGTTTCATGGTGATTAAGGCCACTTTGGGTGAAACCTTTGACGTACCTGTACTTGAACTGGTGAGTGTACCACTCCCCTCATTTGTTGCTTAACTTGATTTCTGCACTTGCAATCTGTGATCTGAATGACTGTACTATCTGTTTATTCTATTTGAGATGAGGGTGTACTTTATCACACTCGTTCTTTTGTCTGTCTGTATGCCTATTTACTGTGTGAAATTTGTTATCTGTATCTGAAACTGTTCGGACGTCGTTTGGAGGCTGGTATCCAACGACCTTTCTGTGACCTCTGAGCTCAACACCTGTGGCTAGTTACTCGAGTCGAGCCGGCAAGGGCCTGATCGATTAGATAACGAACCACAGTAGTCTTTTCTAGGAATCTTTGGGTATTGAGATCCTTGATTCCTGTATACTCGAGTATTACCACTTCTGTTTCTGTTGAGGTGTTCGGGCCCGGTAAGGGGTATGTGTGGTGAACGGGATTTTGGTGTAAAGTGGTGCTCTACTGGACTGGACTGGTTACTTTATTTGGAAGTTGACGGACTGTCAACTATTATTTGATCAAGTTTCGGTGAAGCAAATGGGAATTTGGCTCCTGAGAGCCACCCGTATCCTTTCTATCTATGGTGTTGTTCATTTCTTTATTTGGTTTGCATATGTGACTAATTGAATTGAATATGAAGTTCCATGATTCTTACTCGCTATTATTTTGGTACCTCATTGAGCGTAAGTTCACCCCCTTCCCGTTATCTTTGTTTTCCTTACGGAGAACCACACTTTGAACCGTGATTTTGAGAAAAGGGTTGAGCTAGTGTAAACATTCTTTTGTTAGCTCTTGTGTAATCAGAACCGTAATTGTCTTTTACTTAAGTATCTCGCTTTTAATTGTAAAGTTTTCAATGTATGTATATAAGTGTTTTATCATGTACCGTAAGTGTATTCATTTGAGATGGTACCTTTGCGTTTGTTGAGTTGCTACTTGTAACCATTGGACGATCGGACGAGTACAGCATTTGATTGATTGATTGTTCTCTTGGGGATTCGTTTGTGCGCTATATCGGGTTTGTGTGATTCAACTCCGTAGTCCTGGCGAGAGCTAGGCAGGCGGTCCGCCGAACCCTTTGGGTCGCCTTAATCCTACAACTTTCATGTTTTGTGCTAAGTCTAATTTGGCCTCTAACATGGTCAAACAGAACCGGGCAGAACAGGGCAAATTGGAAACCTTAAAACTGAAATTTATGCACTCTAGCTGAAATTCTTTGAAGGCAAGAAAACTAGCATTTTCAAGCTCAAAATTACTCATGACAACTACTAAATCATGGCTAAACATCAATCATCATATGAGGATAGAAAATTTACTATAAAAACTGAAATTCACCATGCCCCTACTTCAAACCATAAACTTGTCCACAAAGCTACATATTTAACCTCTCCAATCCACTAATTGGCAATTATCAAGAGTAAAAGGAAATTTCTAGGGAATTTACCTTGAAACTAGAGGAAAGATGATAGCTTAGGGTTTCTTTTACAAAAATCACTCCACCAAGACCTTTGTTCCTCCTTAATAAGCACTTGTATGGTGTAGTTTCCAAAACTAACAGTTAAAACTCAAGATTCAAGCATGGAATGGAGGATGAAGTTGAGGTTTTCTCTCTCTCTTTTCTAGCTAAGGAAGTCGGCCAAGAGGAAGAAAGAAATGAAGAAATTTTGTCCAATTTTGTCCAAGATAAAGATCAAAAAAAGTCTTGGTCAAAAGTCAAGGTCCAATGGTTTTGTGACAAATGGTCCTTTAGGGTTTTAATCTTATCCTTTTGTCTACCAATGGTAATTTATCTAGCTAACCTCTAATTGTCTCCTACCACCTTGTACAGTAATATTCCTTTATACAAAACTTCAATTAATCGGCAAAAATTTATCGCACTTAGCGCACTAGCGGGCCCCACATCCATAATACGCTTCAAACTGAATATGAACTAACTTAAACTAGGAAAATGATTTAAAAACTCTACTCACTTATAAAATGTCTGGAAAAATCAATATAATAAAGTATAATGAAGAAAATGCATACGAGAAAATAAAATAAAATATTATAAAAATAAGGGAAATTTACGGGTTCTCACAATGGCCCTACTACCCAATCACCCCACAATAAGTGCAAATGAATATAGAATTAAGGGTTTTTCCCTTTTCGTTTTCAAGTTATCGCAAACTAGAGTTTTCACGTCTTTTCGTAGTGTTATTATTCGGTACGGAGAGTGTACTAAATTTGATGATTAAGAGTGAGTTTGAGACAAGAAAAAATGTGTGATTAGAAGTAAGAATCATAAGTTAGTGAATTATAAGTTAAAACCCTAGTACGTGCAAAATAAGGAAAAACGGGTCGGACCGATGGGGGTCGCGCGCTACCAATTGAACATACCACTTGAACACTACTCTATTACCTCAATCTCCTTACTTTTATTTCAGCAAAAATCATCCCAAAATACCCTTCAAGGCAGCCAAAATTCTTGACCCCAAGAGAGAGAGAAAAGAAAAAAAATTGTGAGAACCTAAGTGTGACAAGTGTTGGCCATTTAAGGCCCTTTGACCAAGCCAACTTTCTTACCTTCTTATCTTCATTTTAGCTCATTTCTTCACCATTTTTTTCTTGTTTGGCCGAGAGCAAGGAGAGGGAGAAAGAGTGAAGAGAGTTTCTATT